ATTGAATTAAGAGAAAGTAGCTGTATACCTATCCTAACTATTTTGAATATACAGATACAAAATGGTTCTTCATTTGTATCCCCTTTTTTGTTTAGTTTTGCCAGAGATGGGTATTCCACTGTCATTTAAATGTTGTAGGTATGTGAATTCAGCAAAACATTCCAATATAGTCCAGTAGTTTTTTTTTTTTTTTTCTTTTTCTTTTTCTACCCTTGTTTTTGCCCTGCTTCCCAAATGTGAATTGTGTTAGTGAAGTTTGTTTTTAACTCCAGGCTGAGGCTGCTGGCTCTCCTATCTGCTGACCCCTGCCCCTGCGAAGCAAGGAAACAGGTTCTTCCCCACACTTCCCCATGTGGAGTAGGGAGGGCAGGAGAGGGGCCCTCTCACCTCACAGTAAACAGATGAGTGAGACATGCTCGTTCATTTCACTGACTCCAGAAAGTCCTAGAGGGCCAGCATCACTGAAGAACTGGAAAGTGGTGGGGCTGAGATTGGAACCAATTATTCATTTAGTTATGATTTTCCAGCAGTGTGTCTCTCCTCTAACTGTGACGCACTCTGAAATGTAGTTCTTTTGGGTTGCCTGATTCCAAACTCCTTGAACTTTCCACAGCTTCTACCACGCTATTAGTGCCATTTTAAAGAGAGGTGCAGAAAGGCTAGGAATGGCCCAAGATCCTGAATTGCCTACAAGGAAGGATGACCTTGAAGCAGACACCCTGCCCTAAACTCAGGGCACTTTCCTGGGTTTTCTCCTGTGCCTGCCGCTGCCTACCTCTCTGCTTGTACCTTGCGTACCCACTTGATGTCTCCTATGACCATTGTTAAGCCTCCACAGCCTGTGGGCGTGAAGTGAAAGGAACATTTTCAGAGGTACAAAGGGGTTTGGTGCCTGTAGAATGTTGGAGCCCATTGAAGCTCTGATTTAACGAGCCCTAGTACTCTCCAAACTTGGTCCTTTTGTTATATGAAATAATATACTTCCTTTCTCGCTGAGTAAAGTTAAGTCAGCTTTTACTGACTTCTAACAAGTGTGAATATGTTGGTCTCTCTACTCTTGTAGTCCCTGCTCTCTGGACTACTCGCTGAGGCACCCGCTTCAAAATCATCATTTTTTCTTACTTTATTTGACCTCACGCTGGTTCATGGTGTTCTGTCCTGGTCCATTGGTGAGATGACAAGTTCTTGAAGACCAGGAGGCTTTATGCTGGTGTGGTCTTGAAGCCCTGGATTCTGCTTCTGACACCATGGGTAACTGGCTGGGCCTTTTGCCCTCTGTGTAGTCTGTTTCCAGCCAAGTGCATGTGTTGGAAACTTAGTCCCCAGTACAAATTTTGGGAGGTGGAACCTTCAACAGCTTACAGGCTGTGCCTGCATGAATCTATTGATGTTCTCACAAGACTGAGTTAGTTAAGGGAGTGGGATCCTGACAAATGGATGAGTTCAACCTCTTCCCATGCCATTTCTCACAGGCACACATGTGTACATACACACCCATCTCTGATGGGTGTGCACACATACATGTACAAGCAATTCTCATGGGCACACATATGCATATATAAACAAGTTTCATGGGTATACATACATGCATGCATGTCCATTACTTACATGTGTACATACATGCATATGCAAACAACCCTCATGGACACACATACCTACATACACACTCATCCCTCACAGGCACACATATGTTCATATATACCCCATCTCTTGCAGATGCATGCACTTGTGTACCCGTGTCTCACAAATTCATGTGTGTTCATATATACCCTATCTCTCACGGTGCCGATGTGGGCACATATACCTATTTGTGGGCACATGCACATGCCTATATACCTCCATCTTCCATGGGTGCACATATGTGCATATACATTCATGTCTCATGGGTGCACATGCATAGATATGCACCCACCTCTCAAGGGCAAGCACACATGCATATGCCCCCAGTCTCTCCCAGGTGCACAAGTGTGCACATATATCCCACCACTCACAGGTTACTTGCACACACATACATTCATCTGTCATGGGTGCATATGGGTGCATGCACACCCCTCCTGACAGGCACATGCATGCACACACACATTTGCTCTTGTACTCTTCTGCATTCTCCCAAATAGTGATGCAACAAGAAGCCTCTTACCAGATCCAGGATCCTCAACCCTGGACACATCAGGCTCCAGGACTGTAAGAAGTACATCTCTATTCTCTGTAAGTTTCTTGGTCTCTTGAGTTCAGTTATAGAAGCAGAAAATGGACCAAGACACCCTCTATCTCCCCAGACTACATTACTGCCTGGGGAAAGGCTGAATCAAAGGGCAGTAAACAAGCTGCATTTTTCTTGTTAATTCTCACTGAAGCATTGTGGATAATTTTCATGGAGCATCAAAGAGTATCTGATGTTTCTATTAGTATGGATTCAGGAGTAGAAAAAACTAGTTCATAGTGATAGAAATTAGAATAGGGGGAGGGCAGTGGCTAGGAAATTGCACAAGGGAGCTCTCTGGGCTGATGAGAATTTTCAGGTTTAAGAGAGTACAAATTAGGATTGAAACAAAAAAAATGCAAGTAATACAGATTTTCACTTAACAAAGTAATATGAATTTCATAGTATTTATTGTAATACATAGTGTTGTCTTCCAACCAGTTATTCATATTACCAGATATATAAATGCAAAATTGGAAGAAAAAATAAAAGAGAAAGAAATGTATAAGAAATTAAGAAGACAAAAAGGAGAAACAATTGAAAAAAAGAGATGAAACAAATTAAAGCATTAACTGCTTTTTTCCATAGACTAGCAGAAATGCACAATACAGTTGTCCAAATCACTCTGCTTACATACATAGATAAATTTCTTTCCCCTACTCCCTCTCCTGTCCTTCTCCTCAACTCAGTAACTCTTTCCTTTATAATAAGCTCACCCTCCTTTACCAGTGTCTATTGTGCCCTTCAGATTCCATTTTTCTCTTTCAGGTTCTCACACTAAGCAGACAACATTATGTTTGCACATGTTCTGTGTTTTGTGGTGTTATAAAGTGTCTGCAGTTATTCCTTTTTATCCAATGGAACATAAAATCTCTGCATATGTTCTTTTTTCTTTCTTTTATTTATTTATTTATTTATTTATTTATTTTTTGTGGTATCAGGGATTGAACTCAGGACCTTGCACTTGCCAGACAGGTACTTATTCTACTGATCTATCTCCCCAGACCTCTGCATATGTTATTATGTATAAAATATGCCTCAGTTTATTTTAGCACATTTAAGAGAGAATAGATTCTGAGATCATGTTCAGTTTTTTTTTTGTTTGTTTGTTTGTTTTTGTTTTGTTTTGTTTTATAAGGAAGGGTCTGAAGGGTGTTCAGGGTCTCACTACCAGATCTGACTCATAGTGATCCACCTGTTTATAGCCTCCCAAGAGCTGGGATTACAGGTACGTGCCACCACCCCCAGTTTCAATTGCCAAATCAGTGTGCCTTGGGGGCAAGACTGGCACAGCAGCCCCAGGGATTAAACCCTCAGCCCCTGAGCCTGCTTGCAGGTGCTTTAATCTGCTGAGCTATTTGGCCAGGCCCATGTTCAGTTCAGCAGTCCAGAATGCCATACATGATCAGCAATGACTGCCTCAGACAAGGAGAAGGTGAAGTGTTTGCCAAGCAAGTGCTTATTCTACTGAGCCATCTCCCCGGTCCCCCCGCCCCACAGCCTTTTTTTAAGGAGAATAAATTTTTAAAAATTAAACATTAAAAACAATAGAGAATTTAAAAACAAGATGGCAAGAAATCAGCAATGATTGTTATGTTGTATATTGTTATCTTCAAAGTAATTGTTCAGATGACCAAATAGAGCCATGCAAAATGGATCAAAATTTTTTTTCAAAAGAACTGAAAACATCATACCACAGTGGTATATGTACACCCTTGTTTATAGCAGCACAATTTGTCATAGCTAAATCTTGAAAACAACTTAAATGCCCATCACCTGAGGAACGAGTAAAAAGATGTGGTATTTTTATACAATGGAGTATTACTCAGCTATAAAGAAAGATAAACTCAAAGCTTTCATAGGTAAATGTGTGCAACTAGAGACCATACTCATAATGAAATAAATCAGACTCACATGTGTAAACATTGTATTGTCTCCTTAGTGCAAGACCCTAAAGGAGAAATAAAATCTGAAAGGTAGAACGGACATTGTGAAGAACAGGAGAGAAATTGCTCAAAAGGAAAGAACTGGGATGGGGACAAGAAAAGAAGGAAGTGGGGGGGAAAACATGTATATATACACAAGATAGCTAAGATAATTGTACTAGTAATTTCTATTGGTTTATTGAAAGGAACAGTTAATGCTTATTTATTTATTCTATTTTTTTTTTTTGCTCTGCTCTTCTTATACTCAGCGTGTCACCCTCTAAGAGTTTCTGCATCATTTAACTCACCTCATAAAGTTACAGTGTGGTAAAGTTTCCTGTATAACGTGCATCCCTAGCCAAATCTAAGATGCTGCTCCTGAGATATCTTGTGTCTCCCTAGCAGAGCTAAAACACGGCAGAGCCGCATATTCTCAAAATGCTAAGCTCCCTGTGGGTCTGGGCTTGGCTTGTCTGTCCCATTATCCATCTTACAAACCTGAAGTGCTGAGGTTGATTTGCACACGGGCTTTCCTGCTGCAGTACAGGGCCAGTTGAAGGGACTAAGATGACTTCCACAGGCTGGGCAAAGGAGAGCATTTTCTTCTCAGGCTTCATCCTTTCGCAGGACCCTAGCTCAAGATGGAGTCTGGCAAGAGTCATTTCTGCTCCTCCTGCCACTGTGGGTGTGGAGGGCCTTTTGGGGATTTCTCTGTAGCCTCTTGGTTTGTCTCTCTACCACCGAGGAGGCTGATTTGGGCACCTCTGGCACCTGCATGGAGTGTCCAGATCACAAGGACAGCGCCAGGCAGTGGCACCCCTGGGGGGCTCAGGCTCTGCAGCTGTGCTGATTTTCCACTGCTCTCCCTACAGAGGCAGCAAGACAGCAGCTGGCAACCCTACCTCTACTTCCGAAGTCAGTCAGAGAGCCAGGCCCAGAGGCAGATCCAGCCCGGGTATTCTGCCAAGAGATACCTCCGAGGCTTCTTGCGGACATGGTCCCCCTCTGCTATGTACAGGCTCCAACGTGCAGGTCAGTGGGGCATGGGTTCCCCATCTCTCATTCTGGTGCCAATGTGTTTTCCATCAAGGACTAAAATACCAAGATTTCAGGCTCAGTCTCTTGTTTGTTTGTTTGTTTGGATATTTTTGTTTTTAGAGACAAAGTTTCACTATGTAGTTCAGGCTGTTCTTGAACTCACTGTACGGCCCAAGCTGGACTTGAATTCATGGTGAGCCTCTTGCTTCAGCCTCCTGAATGCTGGGATAACAGGCATGTGCCACCATGCCCAGCTTTGACCCAATCTTAATAAAGCAAACCCCTGAGCTTGGTAGTCCCCAAGCCTCTGTCTCTGACCACCAAGCTTGCCTATTTGGCTCCCGATGTCCACAGAAGGACAGACTCCACAAGTCTCTCTCATCCCACCCTCACAGCCCACCTCCCAGGCCAGCACATCCTGGCCAGCTTTCCATACTCAGAACCTCAGAGAGCTTCCACCAGTTTAACTCCTGCTGTCCACAAGATGAGAAGCCAAGGGTTTGTCTAAGGTCATTTGGTCAAAAGGAGAGCAGGACCAAAGCCCAGTCTTCCTTGCCTTCATGCCCCTAGTTCCACGATCTTCCCAGGACTCCCTGGCTCCCTGTCTGAGATGACCATGGGTGATGAGGGAAGTGGGGAAATAGGAATTCTTTCCTTTAAAGGTACAGTTACAAGGAAGATAGACAACCTTTTGCAGAGAAACAGAAACCCCTCCCCATACACTCTGCAAGTGCTGGGTTAGGGTTCAGGGTTAGCACACGCACACTGCTCCACAGACAGACAATGAGCCTCCCAGTACTTCAGACATACTGCCATTTAAAAAAGATTCCACTGTTTACCTAAAATTCAAATTTAACTGGACACCCTGTGTTTGACTTGGCAAACTTTTCAGGGATGAGAGGCGGGCAGTAGGATCTGCCAGGATCTACTCAGCTATGCGCCGCTTCTTCAGCACCCACAAGCAGGCTGGACCACCAGAGGAATTCTGGCTTCCTTTATGCTTTCATGGGTCTACCCTGGGAAAGAAGAGAAAACAGCTCTCTCCCAGTAAGTGGTGACTGCAGGCCAAATGAGAGCTGTGGGCTTGTCTGGCCATTGGTTACTTTCATGGCTGTGCCATTTATTTTACATTTGTGAGAAAGGACCTCTTTAAAAAGCCATTAATCAACAGACAGGCTGAGGCAGTGCAGGTCTTGTAGCCTGGACCTCATGTCTTCAGGAAAGAACTGGCCTCCCCACATCAAAAGATACTCAGACTCCTCCATGAGAGTCATATGACCAAAATGTGTAGCCTAGGAAAAGACAGGTGTGTGTTGCACCCTTGGGTCTTTGCCATGATTCCTTGCCTGGGCCCTTCTTGAACCAAGGTCCTTAAGCTAGAAGAACAGTACTGATGCTCAGATAAGACACCATGAGCCTAAGGGCCCCTCCTCCGTTCTCCACTCACTCCTGAGAGTTCACCACCTTTGGGATGCTAGTTCGCTTCTGCTCCCTTTTTCCCACCCAATGATAAGCCCTTTCTACCCATCAGGCCCATATCTGCTACAAAGGCTTTTCTGGCAACTCCCACCAATATTGAACTTTTCAATTTGTGTTCTAACACAACAGACCACACAGTTGACAGCAGGATGGCCGCTGTCTCACCCATAGACTGGGTGCCCTTAAAAAGAGCCCATGTCTGCTTCAATACCTGCCTGGCAGAAGGGCAGGCTCACTGGTAAACCCTCCACAAATACTGTAGAATGGCTAGATGGAGAAAGCTGATGATCGTGAGGCTCACAGAAGCAAGTAGGCTATACCTGCTACCAGTGGATTGTTCTTCCTGAGACAGGGCAGTACTTCTGCTCAATTCCAACAAAGCCACTATGTTTCTCCTGCTGGGAGGAACAGCTCTTGGGAATAGTGAAGTAGAGGAAGCACACATGTGCCACAGGGCTGGGAACTCTCCAGGTGCTGGATGGAGAAGCCTCCATGGACTCCACCTGTTTTTCTCCCAAACCTCTGTCTTCCTCCTCTTCCTTCTCCCCCTTCCCCCTCCCCGCCCCCTCCTCTTCCTCCTCCTCCTCCTCTTCCTCCTTCCTCTCTCTCTCTCTCTCTCTCTCTCTCTCTCTCTCTCTCGACAGAACCCAAGACCTTCTCACTGAGCAGTACTGCAGCCCTCATTTTTTTTTTTTTTTTTTTGCGGAACTGGGGATTGAACTCAGACCCTTGTGCTTGCCAGGGAAGCACTTATTCCACTGAGCCATCTCCCCAGCCTCTAGAAGGATTTTTTTTTTTCTCTGAATGCCTTCAGGGCAGGTTTGGCTGGCTTGAGTTGTGGGGATCAAACCACAGCAACCTGAGCCTGACTGCTTTGTTGAAGCAACCACTTAAAGAACTGAGCTAAGGGGCAGGCCCCCTGCAGCCCTCATTTATTATTATTTATTATTTTTTAATTTGGGGACAGAGTCATGCTAAGTCATTAAGTTGCCCAGACTGAGCTCAAACTTGAGATCCTGCTGCCTCAACCTCACAGAGTGTTGGGGTTACAGATTTGTACCTCTACATCCAGCTCTTCCCAACTTCTAATTGTCTTCCTTGGTGGGCACTGTCCAAACTCAAGACTAGTGCAAGTGGGGGAGCCAGAAGCTCTTTCCGGACCCTATGAGCATGTTTCCACCACTAACTCCTACCCACTTCCAGGATACATCAAGGACTCTGTGCTACTCCAGGACACTCACCCTGCTGTACCAAGGAGTTTCAGGCTGCAGCAAGACCTTTCAGGTGCACCCCCAAAGTACCATCTCCTGCCTGTTATCCCGCCATTTTGGATTCAACAAGGGAAATCTTTTGAACAAGGTACATGTTGTTTTTATGTCTAGTTTTCAAATATTTATGTTTTTAATGCCTTAGAACGGAGATTCCGGGGCCAGCCAAATAGCTCAGTGGATTAAAGCACCTGCAAGCAGGCACAAGGGTGGGGGTTTGATCTCCTGGCCTGCCGTGCTGACCCCACCCCCAGGGTGCGCTGAAGTAACAGTTGAGACTGGGCATGGTGGCACATGCCTGTAATCCCAGCTCTTGGGAGGCTGTAAACAGGCAGATCACTAAGAGTCTGATCTAGTAGTGAGACCCTGAACACCCTGTAGGTCCTTCCCTAAAATACAAAAAAAAAAAAAAAAGAAAAAGAAAGAAAGAAAGAAAGAAAGAAAGAAAGAAAGAAAGAAAGAAAGAAAGAAAGATAGATTTCTAAAATAAAGTCTAGGGATTTCAGTCATCCTCTTCTGTGAAATGAGGGGCATAGTCTAGACCAGCACTGTCTACAGCACCTTCTGAGGTGATGGAATGGATATGCATGCTAGCTGATATGGCGATTGTTAGTCACAAGTCTGATAAGCACTTGCAATGTGGCTAGTGTAACTGTGAAACCAAGAATGTTATTCTAATTACTCGATAATTAATCTAGTCACTTACAATTAGTGACTACTATATTGAACAGTGAGATATAGACTCTAGATTTTAGGCAATTCCTTAGATAGGATCAGGCATGTTCAGGGAGGTATGGCCATAGACTGAGCCTTAGGTCTGTTCCACCTGAATATTCTATAATCCTGTGGTGTTTGTGGCAACATCACGTGGGAAAAAAAATACTGCCTTTACGCCAGAAATCTGTATTGCAATGGCGGTTCTCTCACTCACTAAACATAAGATCTCCAGCTTCTCTTTCCTCATCTCTGTAGTGGGCACAGTGAGACCTACCTTGTTAATGCACAGAACACTAATGCAGACTGTAAAACATTGAGTACTACCAGAATCTTTTTTTTTTTTTTTTTTTTTTTTGTGGAACCAGAGATTGAACTCAGTCTCTTGAACTTGCCAGAGAAGTGCTTATTCTACTGAGCCATCTCCCCGATCCCTTTCTACCAGAATCTTACTGGTCAATATTATTCTTGAGAACTTGAAGCAATAAACAAACCAGGAGTTGTCTCTGGTGAGGGAGCTAGAAAAGATGACAGGTAGCAGTAATGAACAAAGACTAGGATCTTGGACGATAACAGATCTTGAGAAAACAAAAGAACAAGATCCCAACAAAACATAAATGTCTTTTTTTTCCTTGAAATAAAAAGGAATTTTCTAGACAGAATGGCAGTGCCTGACTAGGTCCTTCCTGTCCATGATGGGATGGATGTGGTCAGGATACGCAAAGACTCTAGACTGTTTGGGGGTGTAGGACATGGCTTGGCATCATCAAGCACCCCGGCCATTTGTTGTACTTGGGTCTCAAGTCTGGCACCAGAGGATTCTAGTCATAAGCATGTGTAGACTGTCTATATAAAACCTGTTGACCAGGTGATTCTTTCCTCTTTCATTAATTAATACTCTGGTCTGTACCTTAATATCTATGTACTTTGCTAATGTGAATCAAAGTCTAAGACCGCTTGATTCTGAGGCATTAAAGAAATCACAGGTCTGAGCTAGAATCATCCAGATAATGCCACTATGTGGGGGATGCATTGCCCTTCCTCAGGTAGCATCTATCTCACCACGGCCTTCTGTGCTCTCTCTTCAAAACCCCTGTTGTCTCCAGCTAATATCCTTATACTTTGAGGCTCTAGGACCCTAAAACACTGGAAAGGGATTGTAGCATTTTCTGGCAGTGGGGCACTATAAACCTAAGGGATCACTGAATTCTCTAATCAATGCTATCTACCAAAGAACTATCATAATATGATAGAAAACAGGTAGTATAGAGTAGTGATTAAGTGTGTGGCAACTAGCACCAAATTCCAAGCCATATGACTTCCCTGGCCTCATTTATAAAATGGAGAGAAGCATACCACCTTTACTTACAGGGTTGTATGTGGGAATTACATAGGGTAATGTAGTACCTAGCAGATAGTAAGTGTTCAATAAATGTTAATTTTAGATTTCTTGGCTTTTGTTTTCTAAACATAATTACTAATTGCAATACCCATCACGGCAGAAATAAAAAAAAAAAAATTCAACTTTTAAAGAAATAAAAAGAGCTGACTGATGTTTCCACTGGTTTTAATTTTATCTCCCCTTGATCTCCTCTCTTTGACAAACACTTTATGTGGAGAAATAGCAAAAGTCCTAGAAGTGAACCCCAGGTTCCCCAACAGTGAGATGGTGGCAAGTCGCTCAGAGTCCCTGCCCTTCAGTTCGCACACCTGTGAAATGTAAGCAAACAGGCCTGCATTCATTCCTCCCTATCACAGGAGAGGCCAGAGGGAAAGCCCCATGAAAGTGATAAATTGCTGTCCCAGGGCACATTATCTGGGTGAGCTGAACCCGTATTTAAGATACAGAGAGTTCAACATATCAATACTTGATGAAAAATACCTGTTCCATGTTATGCCTAAGATGTTTGATATTCAGACAGATAGTGAGGTTAAGCTTAACAGCCTAGGTTGTATGGTAATAATAAGCTTGTCTTCTGGATGGTTAACAACCTAAGTTTGCAAACCAAAATTAGAGAAAAAGGAGGGCCACAAGGAAAGCCAACATTTTAGCCCTAGCCTTCCAAGGTCAATTAAGACTCAGGACATATGAGAACTTGTACTGTAACGTCATGTAACTCGGTAGTGTCCCAAATTTTCTGATCAAGGAGATTATGGGGCCAAAGAGGAAACTGATCGATGATGTAGAGTGTGCCTAAGGAGAGTCACATGGAGAGAAAACATTCTCTCAGGCTTTCACAGAGAGCACATTGGCCAAGCAATGGCAGTGACTCATCCACATGGCTGCACTGACAAAGGTTCTACAATCTGAGGTACAGGATCTCAGGATAAATCCTGAGGGGATTTCACTGACCTTATCAGACCCGAAAGCTACAACTCTTGTTGCATAGGTCCTGCTTTACCTTGGTCTTAACCATCCAGCAAAAAAGTATAAAAACGAAATATAAGAAGTAAAGCCATGCTGTTATGTTGAGCTGTAGAGGACTCAGGTCAACAATTTCTGACATTGCCAGTGAAGCGGAAGACCCAATACTATTCTGGACTACTGAACTCTTTTAGAATATTTTGCTGAGTTTACACACCTATAATATTTATTTATTTATTTATTTATTTATTTATTTATTCTTGGCAGAACCGAGGATTGAACTCAGGCCCTTGCACTTGCCAGGCAAGCGCTTATTCTACTGAGCCATCTTCCTGGCCCCACCTATAATATTTAAATGATGGAACTTAACAAAAAAAGGGATACAGATGAATGTCCATTTTGTATCTGTGTATTCAAAGTGGTTAGGATAGATATATAGTAACATTTTCTTAATGAATAGAGGGATTTGCTCTAATGTTGTTTGTAAATAAGATATCAAGTCTGCATCTTGTACAGCAATTAACCACTAGGAAGAATGTATGCAATGTGTTAATTATTGAAACTGTCCTACCAATTTGGTTTGAAACTGTCTCATTGCTATTTGTTTCTCAATAAAATTATGGGGAAAAAAAAGATACAGAAAGAATATATTTTGTGCTCTCTTCTCAACAACTGAGATTTCCAATACTTTTCCTATTAACCTGTTTCTTCTACGCCTAAACAGCTGAGCAAGATGATGACATTTACTGAGAAGGAATTCTTGCTTATTCTCACATACAGTGAGTGAGTCACACAGTTAATTTCGCTGGAATCTGGCCAAAGCGTACCTCTCTAGGTCTCACCCCACCCCACTCCCTGCAATGCCGCCACCCCACATGGGCACTCTGACATGCAAGATTGTTGAGTGAGTAGCTGCCTGGCTAGAGTTTCACTCTCCTCACCCTCAGAAGTCCCTCTGGTTTCAGGTGAATTGGACCAGAAAGGGTAGACTCATGGTCTAGCTTGATCCCAGAGGATCTTTCTAGAATAGCCTAAAAGGTTATTAGTGCTACACTCTGTGTGGCATTGAGGTCCTCTTGGGAGGCCACCTTGGAATGAAAAATCTCCAAAGCCTACCAGGCTTCCCTGGACCACTAAAACCTGGCGGACTCCTGAACCTGAGCTTGGGCCCATGTCTCAACCATTAACACTCTTGGCATCTGTTTCACCCAGAGTAGCCTTGAGAAGCCCAAGGGCTGTCAGGATAGCTGGAAGGAGGGAGTGGCCCCTGTGTTAGCCTTTGATACCCGAACCAGTGACACTGAGGATGGAGGAGAGGAAAGTAGGTGAGAGTTGGGGAACATACAGGAAATTTGGGGCTGGCTTGGGGAAGGAGGAAGAGCTCCCAGAATCCAGTGCTCCACCTCACACAGGGCCTGCAGGCTTCAGAGCCTACAGTTAGACACAAGCCCACATTGTTCCATGCAACTGCATGCTGGGAATGGAGGTATTACTAAAGCTTGGCTCCAAACAAGGAAGGCTTGCCAGACTGTTTCAGCAATAAATTACCTGGAGTAGGTGATGAGAATAGCTGCAGGACCCTTTAAACCATCGATGAAAGATTTGTTAACTATGCTGGAGTCATCTGTTGACTCAGATCGTGCCCAAGGGTTGCAGACAGGGTAAATCCAGGGAGTTAAGCAGGGGTCCCACACCCCTGCTTTCAGCAGAGGTTTCTCCCTGAGTAAACAACCAGGAGATGCCCAGGAACCCTGGGAGCTTGCTTCAGGTGCAACACAGAGTGCTGCAACTTTTGCGTCACTGCCTTCCACAAGCCCCTGGCAGCTCACAAAGAGCTGTCATGTTAAGTGTCTCACCTGAGCTCACACAAGGAAGTGAGGGTGAGAAATCAATGTCCCCATTTTGCTGATAAGGAAACAGAGCCCAGACACAAACCTCCACCCTGAGTCACCCGACTCCCAGCACAGCTACTCCCTGCAGGCTGCTGTTTCCACAGAGGCACTGCCAGGAATACAGAATGGAGAAGGGGAACAGAGAGGAACCAGGGCTATGGCCACTTCTGCTCAGAGAAGCAAGAAAGGGGCAGCTTTGGGACAGTGCAGCACTGGGTCCTGGGCTGGGGTTCTTATTGACTACTGTTTGCCTTTGCAGGTCAGCAGGGCCTGGATGGAGGGGTAACTGGCACTGTCGAACATGTGGACCAAGGCACTGCAGCCACATGCCATGGTGGTCAGGGGAATCCTTTGCTGCCACTCAGGGAGCAGCCCTGGCAGGAAGATGGGACCCAGGCAGAGGTACTACTTCTAACAGGCTCCCTTTTGTTACCACTGTGACTTCACAGGGGCTCACCTTCCCTTCCCCATCTCCAGGAGTCCACCAAGTGCTTTGGCCCTGTTGACTGCTACTCCCCAAAGTATCCCCTGTAGAACTCCAGCATCACCAGATGCCCTTTAAGAAAAGGGTTTGTAGCCAGGTACAGTGGGGAGATGCCACGTGTGCATTCTCTTCCCAGAGACACTAGCACACATCAGGGTCTGGGGCACTTGGAGAAGCCCTGCAGTACAATCACTGGCTTCGGTCTGCTTAACTCCAGGCTTTCCAAATTACTATTTCTCCTCTGACCTTTTGCCCCTTTTAGGTGAATATAGACTTAGCTAGAAAAAGGAGCCTTTGTTCTTAAACTTGGTCTATCCTGCTTCTTACTAGCAGTGATAAATTAATTAGCTTTGAGCCTCAATGAGCCGTTCTGTAAAATGGAGCTTTAATCATATGTATTTCATGAGGCGATGAGTTATATTGTACAAATGCTCTCTACACTGCAAGATGTGTGTGTGTGTGTGTGTGTGTGTGTGTGTGTAATAACAGTTCAGAACAGCCAGGGAAATAGCTCAGTAGAATAGGCGCTTGCCTGGCAAGCGCAAGGTCTTGAGTTCAATCCCTGGTACCGCAAAAAAAAAAAAAAAAAAAAAAAAAAGTTCAAAACAGTCTAGACAAATGTCTGCTCCCATCTTGAATAAAGTCCTTTTGACATTCAAGGCCACATGCCAAAGAGAACAGACAAGGGAAGAAGGACCACACAATGGAAGAGGAGAGAGGAGAGATACTTTTCATGATGAATAAATCCAAGCACTTGGTTTTTATTTTTTTAATTTTTTTGCTAAGATACTGTATGTCAGGTATATCTGTCATTCTATCATTAATCATAAACTACACCATATTGCAAGCAATATCAGAGATTTTGCTGTAATATCTTCCCAGCCTGCAGAAGAAATTTCATCCCTAGAACCACAAGTGTAGCCACAAGGCTGCCTGTTACAGAAACATGCTCTGCTCCTTTGTGATGCCTGTTTACAGCTCTATGTGCCTGTCGTTCCCTAGGACACCTCAATGGAGAGACGCCTTCCTGTTCACGCCTCAGAGGAAAGCCACAATGAGAAGACACACCAAACCTCCAGGAAGGCCCTTGGGCATGCCCACATAGGTCCCTTTTGGCTCCTGGGTGACAAATCCAACATCATCCCTTTTGGAGGTGCCTTCCCCAGTCCAAAGGCAGACCTAAGCAGTAAGAACCAAATGCCTCATTCATTGATGGGGTGAACCTCATTTGAGAGCACAAGCATGCAGAAAGGGATGGCCTTATGCACCACACTTTAGAAAATAACAACCATGGACTCCGGGGAAATGGCTCAGTAGAATAAGAGCTTCCCTGGCAAGCACAAGGGCCTGAGTTCAATCCCTGGTTCCACAAAAAAAAAAAAAAAAAAAAAAGAAGAAGAAGAAGAAAAAGAAAATAACAACCAGAGTCCAGCTGTGGGAATGAGAGCCTCACAGGGTCCCTTTACCTAGTGTTTTGCCAGGCAAATTTTGCAATCCAAATGCCTAGGCTAAACTAATCTCCATTTACTACCTGTAATCTTGAACAAATCATTTAATTTTACTGAGGTTCCATTTCCCCCTCTGTAGAACAGGAATAATAATCCCAGTGCATGACTACTGTAGGGATGAAGTGTGCAATGTATATAAAACACTTTCTATAATTCTCTTCTCATATTTAGTACAAAATACCTATCAATTATTATTGTTATTACTCTCTCTGGCTGAGAAGCCCAACCCAGATGATAAGCTTGGGCTCCCCAACCCTGCTCAGTGAGGCCACACCATCTCCATACCTGGCACATTCCCTGATTTCTTTCCCTTCATTAACCAAAAAGTTATGCTGAAAGTTGACTACCCACCCCCCATACTTGCTACTAGAATTTCTCATTCCTGCTCTTTCTACAGACAAACAAGGGACCAAGAAGCTCTCCAAGGCTAGAGGCAGCCACCCCTTACCACAGCCTCCTGCGGAAAGATGCCTGTTCCCTCCAGTAACATCTGTCACTGCCTCAGAACACAACTCCCCTGGGGAAGCAAAGGGGAAAAAGGTGTGTGTGTGTGTGTGTGTGTGTGTGTGTGTGTGTGTGTGTGTTTTATCCCAAACTAGAAATAAGGCCACTCAGAAGGATGTCTCAGCAGAGAACTGGTCTTTCCAGCTTCTGAGCTAACCTATGAAGCCAGAATAGAACCCCAGTAATTTAACACTGAAAATCATAAGGGCTGAGGAATTTCAGTTATACCTTAAAGCATCTGCTATTACCACTATCTCTGAGGTCAACAGAATCCTCCGTTCTCCTAAGGGTTCAAGATTTTCTGTAAACAAGCAAGGCAGAATCTGAGCTGCCTGGGCTGAGGAGATAGCTCTGTAGAATAAGTATGTGCCTGGCAAGCACAGGGTCCTGAGTTCAATGCCTGGTGCCACAAAAAAAAAAGAAAGAAAGAAAGAAAGAAAGAAAGAAAGAAAGAAAGAAAGAAAGAAAGAAAGAAAGAAAGAAAGAAAAGAAAAGAAAAGAAAAGAGTCTGAGCTGCTAAGCAGTTGACCCGCTTTCAAACTCAAAATGCTGACGAACTTGAATCCAGCAAGTTTGTGGCATGGAGGGTCTGTCACCTCTGCACGTATAGGTCAGATTTTGCAAGTTTATCAACCCCCCTCAGAAGCCAGAACGACTTCTTCCCTCAGAGATGTCCCTTGCTGTCTCCAGCCTGCTTCACAGTTCTCTGTGGTCATGGGTCATGAGTGGTTTCAAGGCACCATGACTGAATGGAGCTCACAGGCCTGCAGGATGCTCTGCCTCATAGCAGCTGTGAATGGTGACCTTACTGTGTGCCTGGAGGAAGGTGCGAGCCTCAGATGGCTGATGGATGGATGCAAAGAGAAGCTGCACCTTTAGGAAAGAATTCTATGTCTGCTTGGGAGCTACCAAAATGTTAGTCAGTTGTGATAGAGATTCCTGTCACCTGAAGTGGCCCTGAAGGAGCTTCAGGCACCCTGGCAGTCCTGGGGCCCATGAGGGAAGTTGTTTTTAGTCTGTCCAGGATTTTTAGATTTCCCGTGTCGGAGCTGATCTGAATTTTTCCATTCACACCAGTGTGGCTTCTGTCTTACGTGATTCCTTTGGAATAGGAACAGACAGCAAGCCTGAACCCCTAACACATCCAGAGTCACCACAGACCCAAGGCAAGCCCCCCATACCAGACCCAGCCAGGCATCCCTTTTAAACCTTACGTCTGCTAAACAGAGGGAAGCATATCTTATAGTACAGTATGTTAAAACTCTATATAAATTTCTAATTAGAATAAAGAAATTAAGTCTTACCAGCCACACTTCACAAATAGTTTGAGTTTCCACTCATTTCTCAATGTGACCCTTGTCAAACAAAATACACAAGGTCAGTATTCAAAAAGGGGCTGTTGGTGACAGCTGTCACCTGACAGTGAGGACCTGAGGAATATAGAGATCCTATGTGCCTGTGTTTGGTTATCATTCTCTTAATGGCTCAATTATAAATATCATCCTGCACAAATTTCTTTCAACTCTAGGTATGTAGGATGCTTATGTATATCTTTTGTCATTTTTTTTTCTTGTGGAGCATTGAAAAACATGAGAATGTTTTCCTTTTTCCTCCTATGAAATCAAACTCTCTCAAACCCAGCACCATAAATACTTCACAGAGCTGAGTTCATATGTTAGAAGTTGGAAACTGAAAAAAAAAAAAAAAAAAGAAAGAAAGAGAG